CACCTTAACCTACGGTTACCCTTCACTGGGAGATACCGATTCCTGCAACTATCTGACTTCACGTCAGAGTCGTCTGCATTGTCTAATCTATCCTCAGCCTTCGACACCATTGATACACAATAATTAATCGTATTGGTTCAATTACCAAATCTATCCCACTCGCTGGGCTCACACGCGCGTCGCTATCGCCCTGGCTCGTAACAACTTCAAGGAATTTAAGATCCTTAGCTGGGCTGTTTACCACTTCTTCTCTCGTTGCGTAACCCTTTTCATATATTGAAAAAGTTTCTACTATGTTTTTGTTTAGAGAACTGGGTAATCTTGAATTTTCTGTATATTCGCCTTGAGGGGAGTTACCATCGTTCTCTGTATTTTCCTTTGTTCCTTTTATAACCTCTTTCACTTTACTTTCTTCTTTTTGTGCTTCTGAATCTATTAGTGACTTTTACCAATAGTGGATCTCTTTGTACATTTTCCCACTTTATTTATTAACATTTAAATTTGTTACAACAAGATTTTCTGCCACGCACAGTGCATACTTGTGAATTTTATTCTAATACAATAAATTGTGCACTACACATAGTGGATCTCTTTCTTTATTTCTCATTTCATGTTTAACATTTCAATTTCTAGCAACAAGACATTTTGCGATGCGTTGTGTGTACTTTGGAAACATAAAAGACTGAAACTGGTATTATAATATAATAAATTGTGGGTTAGAAATAGTGTAGACCTCTTTTTTCATTTCATACTTCATTTTTATCATTTAAATTTGTTTGTAACAAGACTTTCTGCCATGTGTTCTGTGTGCTTTTGAAAATTTAAGGGACTGAATCTGGTATTGTAATATAATAAATTGTGCATTATTCATATGACATTAATTTTATTTGTAAATAACACATACAAACCTTATTTTACTTGCAAATTAATGTAGACCTTAAAATAAAGATACATTTGTCTTTTATTATAGTAAGCGTAGAGTCTACAATATACATAATGTGTCTGAAGCCAGATATAGGTAAGAGACCAGCTTCAGTTCTTTAAGTTTCCAAAAGTATACAGAACGCATTGCAAGATGTCTCACAGCAGGAAATTTAAATGTTAAAGATGAAGTGAGAAATGAAAAAAAAAATCCACTATTTGTAATGCACAATTAATCGTATTGCAATATCAGTTTCAATCCTTAGAATTTTCAAAAGTACACACAATGCATGCCAGAAAGTTTTGTTGCAAGAAATTTAAATAATGAGAAAGTGAACAGAGATCCACTATTTGTAACACATAATTTGTTGTATTACAATAATATAAAAAAAGAGAGGTCAAACTTAATCCTTTAATTTCTCAAAAGTACCTATGACACATGACAGAAAGTCTTGTTGCATTTAAATGTTACTGATAAAGTGATTACATTTTTTCTTTAATAAATTTCTTGCAATGAAACTTCCTGCAATGCATTCCGCATACTTTTGAAACCTTAATGGATTCAAACTGATCTCCCATTTTCTATTATTTGAAGTCATTCTCTATAGAAATTAGCTTTGTAAAAAGAAGTGAGATCTCCATAAAAAACTTCAAAAAAGTAAAAAAATTACGCCAAGTACATGAAAAACTGGAAGACTTAAAGAGTAATTATAGAAAAATAGAAGATCCCCATAAAAAACTACAAGGAAGTAGAAAAAGAAATGAAATCGAAACGAGCTGCCAGTACATGAAGGTTCTTTCCAGCAAAGTGCAAAGGCGACACTGTATAACACAATGAAAAATTTGGTGCTTTCCAACTATGCGCAGCTAAAATGCTGTGTTCAACAGTGCAAACGTTCAGACCCTAATGACAACTCATGTAAACTGACTCCTCCGCACTTTGGCGGTAAAATGAAGAAGCTAAATAGTGTATCAACCACAAACTGAGACTGTTTAGACATTTGCCTAGATGTCCATGGCCTGGAAGTCAAGTGCTTGGCGTGGCCAGGCAAAGCATTCTCAGATCATCAATACCCATACTTTCTCTTTCGCAGACTCTCACATAATTTGTCAATTTAAAACTTTGACAATATGAGTACATTTTCATTTTATTGTGTTTTAAAATATTTCTAAGGACATTCATTGACGCAGATACCCCTCCTCTCACAGGCTTTCAGATAATCTGTCAGTTTAAAATCCTGACAATATGAGTACATTTTCATTATTTTACATTTTAAAATAATTCTTATTCATCAAAACCTTGACCTTGCCTGGCCACGCCAAGTATTTGACTTCCAGGCCACAGACATCTAGGCAAATGTCTAAACAGTCTCAGTTTGTGGTTGATACACTATTTAGTTTCTTCATTTTACCGCCAAAGTGCGGAGGAGTCAGTTTACATGAGTTGTCATTAAGGTCTGAACGTTTGCACTGTTGAACACAGCATTTTAGCTGCGCATAGTTGGAAAGCACCGAATTTTTCATTGTGTTATACAGTGTCGCCTTTGCACTTTGCTGGAAAGCACCTTCATGTACTGGCAGCTCATTTCGATTTCACTTCTTTTTCTACTTCCTTGTAGTTTTTTATGGGGATCTTCTATTTTTCTATGATTACTCTTTAAGTCCTCCACTTTTTCATGTACTTGGCGTAATTTGTTTACTTTTTTAAAGTTTTTTATCGGGATTTCTTCTACGGATCTGTTCACCACACTAGGGGATACGCTTGTGGCTAGTGAATTATTTTCAACGATTGTAACAAACCATGACAACTGGAAAATAACAATATACTTATATAACTATATTTTGTTCCCTTTCAGTTTTGCTATAATATTAATTTTGATTAACTTATAATAGGCAAACGGATTTTGTTAAGAATTGAATATTTGACGTGCATATTTATCTATTTGATTGAGTATGGATAAATACTGTATAAATGAACAAAATGAAGCTTTAAATACAATCGAGACAAGCATAAATTCTTTCAACAAGAAATTCGTAAGCAAAAATTAATAAAATTCATTATATTAGTACAATTTGTATAAAAATTAATACGAAAATTTAATGCACATTGTGGTTATAATAGTTTAAACACACATAGCCATAGGGTGTGCAGGAACCAGAGCCAAACTCCGAGTTGACTTCAGCGACAGTTGCGGAGAAAAAGTAGGAAACTCCGGGATAAGGACAGAGAGGGCGATACAAAAATTGCAGGAGAGACGAGGACAGGGCGATTAGGCTAGCATGATTTTTTTTCCAAGATATTGAGGCAAAGAAGCAATATTTTCTAATAATTCTGGTTTCAATATATATTCGTTACACTTTGGCGGATGCGATTCCAAGGCCTGATTTTGCAATTTCAGCCTTAAAACTTTATAA